ACGTGGCTGGCAGGGGCCACTGCTTGGTGGTCTCCGTGGCGCTGGGCAGAGCATCACGCCCGGACCACGGGCAGGTGGACCCTGCAGATGGCCCCAAAGGAGCCAGGAGCATGAAACCTTCTGGAGGTTTCCTCTCCTCCAGGCAGCGTGTTGAGGCTCAGCAGCCTCTGCTCGCGGGGGCCCTGACCCTGCAGCAGCGTGCACAGAGCCCCGTGGATCTTCCAAGGAGCAGCCCCCGTGGTCAGGCTGGTAACATCAACCTGAGAGTGCCTGCAGGACAGTGCTTGGCAGGTTTTGGTGGGACAAAACCCTCGTGGCCCCATCCCACCCCAGCTGGGAGCTGGGCATCCCTGACCTGCGTGCATCGGGTACAGGACAGGGCTTTGTGCCCACCTCTATTTCTCAGCATTTTATGGCAATGGCAACCAATCCCTGCCAGGAACCCGACCCTTTGCGCCCCCGCAATGCGAGGGTCCATGTTCCCGGGTTGTTCCTTATGCAGACAAGTCTTATCTCAGCATCTTGCTTTCCAAACTAAATATCTTGCCTCTTCCTGACCGGCCTTTGGCAGGACATTTTGCCAGGTCTCCTTTCAGCTCAGTTGCGTGATCTTTCCTTTCTTCTTGGACACAGCCCGACAGGTGCTTCACTGCTCAGAGAACTCGGGTCCGTGCAAGGAAAAGCATCTGAGGAGGCAAAAATCTTCTTGCAGCCCAGGTCGGCCTTCACTCCCAATGATGTTTATGGCTTCTGAGAGTCTGCTTGGATCACAGCAAGACCTGGAGTAACGACTGCCTCTGAGGAGCGTAGAGCTGCAGCAGCACAGCACGCATATTCTCCTGTGGCGAGATATTGGCCACTTTTCCTCAGGCACCATCAATTTAGCCAGCAACCCAGTCATCCGTCTTGCAGCCTCCAGGCATGGATTGTCTTGTGTGCCTGGGATGTGCTGGGACCTTCACCCAGGCTGGTCAGTAAAGTGAAGCAGAGTCTTGGGTTCAGCCCAGCTGGACCTGATGGCACTTGATCACCTCAGGCCCATCCTGTCACTATCCCTGTTTCCATAACTAGACCAGTAATGCCTCCTCTCCTTCCTGGTTTTCTGTGTGGTCCTACAGTCTGTATTTCCCACAGGGACCCACAAATGCAAAATTTGCTTTCCACCATGTTCTCCAGCATTCACTCAAAAAAGTTACCGCTTTCATGACCACCACCATGGCAGAGAAAGGGAGACAGCGCACCAGGGACCTGCCACCTCTGACTTGGACAAACTCTGATTTTCACAGCGTCTGGCACTCCCTCCTGAGCCCTGAGCAGCGTTGGTGTGGCTGTGGCCTGCCCAGATGAAGCAGTAGCTCCAGGCTGAGAGTTACTGCAGAGACCTAAGGCAGAGTTCACACGTGGGCTGTGCCAGGGCTGGCCAGCCTGGCCCGAGTGCTGGGTTCCCAATGTCTATGTGAAGTGTAAATCCAGGCGATGGTGCCTGAGGGACACCCAGGGCCAGCGCAGACTCCAGGGGACAAGTCACGCTCAGATCCAAGAGCTCAGGTGGGCAAGTGAGCCTCTGACCCGTAGCAGATTCCCCTCCAGGGCTGCGATCCAAACCTTGAAGAGGTCGAGAGCAGGTCTCCTGCCTGCTCTTCTCCCTCCCCGAGGCCCAGGTTGCCCTTGAGGAGGTTGGGGAGGGGTCCAGGGTACCTCTTCAGTGCATGAAGAGAGTCAACACACCAGTGATTAGAAGAGCAATTAGACAGCAGAAGAGATGTGAGGAAGATGGGAATGACCCGACAGGGACTTCTACCACCTTCAAGACCAGTCAGACCAGTCAGTTTGACCAAAGTAAGCTCCTCAAAGGAAAAAGAAACGAGATGTGGTGGCACACCCCAAAGGGACTACAAGGTGACCTGCCAAGAGAGAGCACATGGTCTAGGCTGAAGCATGCCCAGGGCATCTACAGGAGCCCTGGGACTGCCAGGAGACACCATGATGTGGTGAAAATGCAGAGCAGGTCTGTCCGCGGACAGACCTTCCCTCCTCCAGCTTTCAAGCCCCAGATCTCAAAGGTTTCCCTGTCAGACGGGCAGGCTGAAGAAGAAATACACGCCGTGTCTGGGAGCAGTGCATGGAACAAGCAGGGTGTGGAAAGACAAGAGGGAGCAGCAAGGAAAACAGAAAGTGGAAATCAATCAAAAGATGCACGGAAAGGGACAACAGACTGACAGTGGGAACAATCTTTCCACAGCTCTCCCTGGGTGAAGGACACTAAGCTGGGAAGAGGCTTTGGAGAGAAATACCGGCCTGCTGGCACCCAGCGGGAAGCTGCCCTGGCAGGCAGAAGGATCCCACCGTGGCTGGTGGCAGACCAGTGCCTCACGATGGCCCAGGAAGCAACGACGACGAAAATTCTTGGAAACCAGCGCCAAAAACGAACGCCTGTTGGTCAGCGTGCCTTGTGCCAGCCCACACCCCTGCAACCAGTTGCTCCTCCAGCGGCGTGACGAGAGGCAACGCAGAGTGGCATCAGGCTGCTCTCGCTGGTCTCTCGGCTGAGCCGCCAGCCCTGAGCACAAGGGTCTGGGGCCACATCTCGCCAGCCAACTGCCAAACATCAAGCAGCTGCTGGCGGGGCTGGAGAAGAGGTTGTGGCCCCTGCCTGTACCCCAGGAGGGAAGGGCCAGGACCAAGGTACCTGCCCCGACGCTGCTGGAGACTGGGAGATGGGCTTAGACTGTGCACCCGAAGGGGACCTCACCCTGCCCTGGACAAGAGGACATGCTAGGACTTCACCCCACAGGGCAGGAGGTGGCTCCTCGCCTTCCAGACAGGCGCCTGCCTTCAACGTGCTG